GAGCACTTTCTCTGGAGCAAACACAGAGTGCCTGTTGTGATAAAAGGCAGAGAACGACAGCAAAGAGGGAAGACACAGAGGAAAAACCCACAAAAGAAGAGCAGACAAACAGGAAAGAGCGCAAACATCCAGAGGAAGTGATAAAAGGGAGATCCCCAAATATCCTCCCTCCCCCTTTGTTTATCCTCCCCTCGGTGCTGATATCACCTTGAGAGGCCCTGGAGGACACTGTCTCTTTCGTCATCCATCTCACAGGCTTAGGTCTGTTACATAAAGACTAGAAGAGTCTACTCGAACACAGAGCCAGATCCAGATTTGCCTGAAAATACACTCACTCTTTCACATTGCAGATTTAGTACTGGACTCCCATTGTGGCTTCTTTTTGAGGCACTGTCAGAGAAACCGATCATTATAGCACAGTCAATATATGAGAACGTGGAGGAAGATGCACAGACAGTCATGATACCCATGGCTGCTTATACACGAGTCAGTCAGCAGTTAAAAGGGCATGCAAATTCTATTTGGAGCTGTAAACCATTTGTATATGCATGTCTGGGATCGATTAGTTTGCAGGGCGAGCCAAATGAATATTTAATCCTAATCTTCAAGCGTTTAAGATGCGAGGTTTGATGCAAAGAATTATAATTTATGGAAATGAATAATCAAAGTACAGAGAACTAAAAGGGGAGAGTAAGAAAAAGCCAAGGCTTCGTTTTTATTGCCATCATCATGACAGGTACAAGTGGCGAGTGCTTATTGCATGCCAATTCCATTCAGGGTTTATGAATGTGTTGATAAAACATTTCCTGTAACTCGTGAATATGGCTGTAAAGTGGGCTTTGTTTCTATCTAAGAAGACAAGTAATCTGGCATTCAGTGAGACTTATATAATAAATTCTCCTCAGAGGGAATTTATGTTTGTTGTATTTGCCAAAAATCTAAATTTCTGCCTTAACATTGCATAACACAGTGCAACACAGCATCTCTCTCAGGCCCTTTTTTAAATTGCTGCTTTTACCTTGGCCCAGCAGAAGTGAATAAGCTCTAAATTGATGTTTTTTCAGTGATTTTTTAAATGCATTTTAAATATTCATTTATTAGTTGGTTTTAACCTTCTTCCAGAACCAGGTCATATCTCATATTAAAAGGCAACCTGCTGCCATTTTGAGGTTACAGAACGGACGCATTCAGTGGAGATGCAGTCTAGTTATCCAATGATTAAAATGGATGCTGTTTGCTACTTACTTAAATCCTGTTGTATTCTGGCCTGTAATAGGGACAAAAATAGCTATTGTATTTTAGCTGTCTCTTCCCTATGAAATCCAACTTTGTTTGTTTTGGCTTGAAAGTTTTAGAGCTATTTCTATTTAAATACGGGTTTGTTTTGGGCATGAGAGGCCTAGGACCTGAGGGTTTAAGAACTCTTTAAAGGGTCATAAAATACCTCAAGCCTGAACATGATTAAGAATATCCACTCGCATACTTACTGATGCTCCAAGTCTGGTTTTGTAAGCAGCTTTTTTTAGAGCTTCTAAAATTCTTAAAATATCTGTATATACATCTCTCTCTCTCTCTCTCTCTCTCTCTCTCTCTCTCTCTCTCTCTCTCTCTCTATCTATCTCTCTGTGTGTGTGGATATATATATATATATATAATAAAAAATAAACAGCTGCTTTGCCATGGAAATCCATGCTGTGAAGCTTCTGGCATGCAGTATTTATGCTGATGTTAACTCCAGAGGGTTTTTGGAAACTCTACAGTTATCGAGTCAGCAGCATGTTGGTGATTATGCAGTCTCGGCACTCAACAACCCTGCTCTGTAATTTTATGTGATCTGACACATAAAGTGTCAGCCATTTGAGGACCCTAAATTGGATAAGAGAGATGTAGAAAAGAAGAAAGAAAGGAGGGATGGATGGTATGTTTAGCATCCCTAGAGATACCTGCTGGCTATGTATTTCTCCATACTTCTACGTACATACTCAAATGTATCTACTGTATGTATTGATGTATTCTATTTATCCACATGTGTAAACATACTTTACTCTAAAGATAAAGAGTAAAGTGGTAAAAAAAAAAAGTTAGTACGAAGTTGTAAAAACTTAAAGAAAATTAAATGTATGGAAGGTTTTATTTAAAATAAGAAGAAAATCTAATAATAAAGGAGATCATAAATTCAGATTCTTGATACAAAAATGCCCTGATTATTGGCACATACAGAAAGAAAAAACTGTTTCCTCTCATGCATGAGTGATGACTGGCCTTCAGGTTCATTTTAGAGGCAGTAGTTTCAGTTTTTACTCTCTGTTTCTCAGTTTATATCACTAAGAGCCTCAAGCCCGCTCTTTCTTGATGGATAATCAATAATGTCTAGCAGAATGCCTCTTTAGTCCTCATGCCTAAAGGAAAGCTCAGTCTACCCATCGCTCCCAATGAATAAACATTAATATTTAATCTGTGTTCTCTGAAAGAAAGATTGTGTACAAACAAAATGAAAAGGCCATTGAAATTATGCCAGTGAAATTGCCAATTCATTCCATTATATTGTGTTTGCTGTGAATCATATTTACTTTCTTGGCATCGCCAAAGATGCCTGTGACCTGCGACTAATTTTGTATTACACGATATAAAATCTTTCTTGTGTGAGCTGAGGCAACGACAGTGTCCAATTGCATACTGTAAACCTGCATTTAGAGTTGAGTAACCATAAACCACAAAAGAGTTTTTGCAAATCCAGAGTACATTATTCATAGCTGGAACCAAAATAGCTATAAATGATTATCAAACTGGAGCTTAAATTCCAGCAACAGCACTCGCTCACGCATTCAAACATATGCTAAAACCAGATTTCTTATTACCACGCACAGTCTGATATGATCGATAACAATTCGAGACCACTATAAAAAGAGACATTCTGTTTGGTCTTTGTAAATTTGTAAAAAGGATGGATTATACGAACTAGAGCCACATATTCAAATGTCTTTTATGAATTAAGGCAGTGTCTCACATTCAGATTGCCACATCATGGATGGCAGCCGTCCAATCATAAGCCACCAAAACAGTCCCAGTATGAACTACAGCATTACCATAACATAGAGTCACATTCAGTCGGCACAGAATAGTGGAACCTCAATTTTCATGCCTGATTCCACACATTTGTACCCTGAAGAGATAATCCTGCACTGACTGTGTTGAGAACTATTTATTGTCTTTAATTCACACTTACCAAATCATAAGATAGATAGCAGTCAAAATGCTTTACAGTTCCACTTTAAACAGAATTGGATTCATGCCACTCCTCTCACCTAACAACAAAAAACTCAGGCCATAAATAAGTCTAAATTTCTCGAAATAAGTACTTTTTGGCCTTTATTTTGGCAGGACAGTTGAAATGAAGGTCGCGAGAGAACAGGGGGAAGCACACAGTAAAAGGCCCGAGGCTGCTTTTGGGACCTTAACTGGCCATTGTCTAAACGCCACAGTCTACCTGAATATCGTTGCTGACCATGTCCATCCCTTTATGACCACAGTGTACCCATCTTCTGATGTCTGCTTTCAGCAGGACAACGTGCCATTTCACAGAGCTGAAATCATTTCAAACTGGTTTCCTGAACGTGAGAATGAGTTTACAGTACTCAAATGGCCTTTACGCCAACGGATGTCAGTCAAAAAAAGCACCTTTGAGATGTGGTAAAACACAAGATTGGCTCATGGATGGGGAGCCAACAAACATGCTGCACTTACATGATGCCATCATGCCGATATGGATCAACATCTCTGACAAATGTTTCCAGGACCTTGTTGATCTTATGCCATGAACAATTAAGGCAATGCTGAAGGCAAAAGGCAAAGTGCACCTAACAAAGTGCCCGATGAGTCCAGCGAATGAGGGAGTCCACTTTCATCCAGTGTAAATGTACTGAAAATGTGTCTTCCAAATGACCCACTGACTCACTTGACCCACTAAAAATCACAGTCCACTTATTTCCTTGTTTTGGAGCTTTCAACCATATCAATCTAGCATCATATTCACTTTTATCTGTGCTACTAAGCAGTAATTGCTAAATGGCAACACTGCAGGACATCCAATAAATAGAAAAGGTCACAAGTGTCTCAGGAGGCTGCCATTTTTCAATGAAAGGTTGACAAGATTAAACTACACTTAGATAACGACAGTGCTGAACAGCTGTAAAATCCAACATCAACATCCACTTAAGAAAACATTTATAGCTTAAAGGTGCGCAGAGACAGAAAGCAGCAAGTAGACTAGCAACAATACGTAGCCTACGGCTTCCATTTCACTTGCAGAAGACTGTGTTTTATTCAGGGCTACACGCTGTTTTATGACAGTGTAAGATGTATGACTTCATTGCATAAGGATTATCTCCTGTTAACCAACCTGTACTGTCAAGGGATGGCAAGTCATACTCAGACCTCTGTAACACACACACACTAAGACAGCCTCACAGGAACTGAGACAGGTAACACTGCTGGCTGGTGAGACGTTTGAATCCAAACCCAAGAGAAAATCTGACGTGTCTGTTTGGATTAACAGACCTGTTTCTATTTTGGGAGCAGCTTCAGCAAGGAAGCAAAGTTCATTTTAAAGCTAGATACAAACTACAGGGAAAAAAGGTAGAAGGATTCATTTGAGTGTGTGTAGCAACTTTACTGGAATTTGTAAAGCATTTATTTATATTGATCAGTGCCAGTCAGTATAAAGCCAATACACCCACACTTAACTTGGCTATTTTGTTTTATTTCTTTCTTTCTTTTTTACAGTAAATCATGTTCTTTCTGGCTGATGATGAAGCAAATATTTTTATTTCACCAAACTGAAGAGCCTTCCAAAAGCTCAGACACAGTGTGCCTGTCTCTAACAGGTCACTAAAATTTCAAGTTTCGTTTCAGCAAACGCACTCAGCTCTACTGCTGATAGCTTCAGCTTCCCCATCAAGCATTTGGAAAACCCTCTGCCAATCAGCCCAGTGAACACTTACCACTCATGCTGTGGCTCATCAATGACCAACAGAATCTTGAACTTCTTGGAGAGGGATGGAGAGGGAGCCGACTGCTCCACAAAGCCAGCAGCAGATGCGGCTGTCTGTTTGACCACATTGGTGATGGAGCTGAAGGAGCTGAAGAAGCCAGAGGAACCACTGGTGGAGGACTGGGCCTGTTGAGGCTGCTGAGCCTGCTGGCTAGGGCGCCGCTCCTGAGCTGCAGGAGAGCTGGCCGGCACCTGGGTCGGTCCTGGAGCTTTGGTTGGGGACGGGGCAGGAGCCGGCGCTGCACCCTGCTGGGAAGGGGAGGAGGCAGTGGGGGGAGGAGGAGCAGGTGGGTCAGGCCTCTGGAGGTCTGTCATGTAGCCATTGGGAAGGTTGGACATGAAGCTGCTGTCAGAGAGACGGCGTCTGAGGAAGTTCATGACTGCGATCGAAAGGTGGGTCCCTCAGTCGGTCAGTTAGTTTCTCCTCTGATTTTAGGTCTGAACGGGGTGAAAGCAGAGGCAGGCTTGATCAGCGGTCGGATGAGTGACAGAAAGCAAGTCAGTCCAAATGATCGAGGGATGCGTGTCCGAGAGCTGCCTCTGCGGAAGGAAAGGATGGATGAAGCGATGGATACAGCTCTGGTCCAGTCTTCAAGAGACAGCTCTCCAAAGTGCAGCTAAGCCAGCGAAACAGCACGCGTGTATGTGGTGTTCTTCCTGCTGAGCCTCACGCCTCCTCACAAATGTGCGTGTGTGACGTGTGAAAGTGTGTGTCTGAGAGAGAGAGAGAGAGAAGGAGATAGAGGTGTGGTGTCGCCCCCTTTGGTGAGGTGCTGGTGCTCTCCCCCCTCCACTCTGCCTTCCTGCCTGCTGTGCTGCTGCGAGCTGAATGTACTCAAGAGATGCTGCTTTCTCCGCTTATCTCACCCTTTCACTCGCTCATGCTCTACGTGCCCTTTTCCTCTCCCTCACTCACTCTCTCACTCGCTGTGCTCGCTGGCTGCCCCCCCTCCCCCGCCCTCCTCCTCTCTCCTGTCATCATCCTCCTACATCACAGATTACGTTCATGTGTCGTGCTGCAGCCTTGTAACGCTGTGTGCCGTGTGCAATCAGCGGAAGGGGTTTCCTGCAAGCGTGCATAAGGTGGAGTTCACAGATGGAAACGCCATCCATCCTTCTCCGCAAGCCCCACCTTCTTCCCCCACCATCCATCCATCTTTCAGCCGCTTGTGCAGCATGTCTTCCCTGAATCTTTTCCCCCCACCATCTAACGTCAGCTCGCTGATGCATTGCTACAGCAGATAAATTCTAATAGAAAAAACATAACCTCCTCTAGGATGGTATCCTTGCCAGTGCACTACCACTAAAAGCATGCGGCATAACAAATGGCAGGGATGATTTGAAATACAGTGGAGAAGTAGCTCATTGTCTTTCTGCCTTGTGCTTCCATGTTGTCCTTGTCTCTCTCTGTTTTATATGTGTCCCCGTTCCAGTTACAATGGTAAATATGATTTTTGTTTTTTTAGCCAGATCTTTTTTTATGGATCAAAAGTGAAAGGAGGATGTCACGTACATACTGTAAAGCCCCTTAAGGTGAGTTTATGATTTGTGCACAATAAAACTGACCTGAGATGTAGAGAACAAGAGGACAGGAAAAGAAAGGCAAACCAGAGAAGGGCAGAAATGCATCTATATCTTTTAGACTTTATTAACAGATTTTTATATTATTCTTTAATGGTGGTATTGGCTAAACATATCTGCTCTTGGTAGCGATATAGGTATGACATTTAGGTTCACCTTACTTTGATCTTTGTAACAGGATGTGCGATGATATCAGTAAGATTTTCCCAATTTTACTTAACTTGAGGGCAATTCAGCATCAGCATGTTATGCAGCCACTTGAAAGGGTACATTTCTGTGCTGACTACATCTGTTTATACAGCAAATCAGCAGCACATCTCAATTTTTGTTTACAGCATCGATAAAGGGTGTAAACAAATAGATACCACATTCACAAACTCGTACACACAAACAACTGAGTCATACGCTTCTTGTTACTAAACGACTATCTCCAGCCTATGTCTAGCTTCATTGTATATTCACTATTCCAGGCCATGAGAAGAGCACGATTGCTGAAAGCCATCGGCAGCAGGAGTGGAGTGCAATATTTGCTACTCTAAGCTTTGCTCCCAAAAAAAGAAAAAAAGAAGGAAAAAACAGTCCAAAGACGACAGGACAAAGAGGGAGAAAGACGATTATTCATGCGGGAAGAAAATCCCACACATGTCTGAGCCACATTAGCGAGAAGAAAAATGCAGACCTACAGTACACCGCTTTCATCTCATCTTCAGTGGGAAAATATTTCTTAAAGGATGGAAAGCAGTCTTACCAATTTAGCCCACTACCATTTATCATGTCCAACCTCTCATTATATGTCAGCAATTGAGATTTCTGGAAGCTTTTGTTTTCAACGATAGACTCTCAAGTGATGGAAATGTATTTTCAAACTGAGAGGCTGTTTTTCAACGGCTGTCTAAGCTCCTCAAATGGATACATATTTTTTTCAGGCGAGTAGTGACTGCTGTTTAGATTAGTGCACGTTGTACAACCAATTTCCGTCAGCCACCAGCACCCGTCTTTTACTATCCCCTTATGTTCGGTTGGAGAGAAATACCTCAAGGGTACACTGAAATTTATGTGATGTTCACCGTTCCTGAAAAAGTGCTGATGACAGAAAAAGGTGACCCTGCTTTCAGTTACATAAAGAAAAGAAGAAAAAAAGAAAGAAATGATCAAGGGCAGATTTGACAAGTAACCCAGTGTAGTATGTTGGGGGTATAAAAGACTTAATGGATCTCTGTTCGGCTTCTTTGCATAACATGCAGGATTCACATTTGTAGCAAGTCACGATGAGTCAGGTCTAGTGAGGGAGGCTTTGTTTAGCGAACCAGAAGAGAGCCAGAGTGAGTCACAGAGCTGCAGTGTGAACTGTAGCGACATCCTAAGCTCGTGCTGGCCTACATGTTTCATGACACTTACACACATCACATAACACGTTTCCAGAGAGCCGTTATATAATAAATATGGGGAAAAACTATGCAGGTAACAAAGTCAAAGAAAAGCTCTGCGGTAATTCGTGGAGCTAAAGGTTTCTTGAATTATTACTTTTCTTTAGCACTTAAAAAGAATATTCTGGTATTTGTAGAATAGATTTGTTGCAATCATCATCTTCAACAAACACTTTTAGGGCTTTATTTCAGCAGGGCAGGAGAGATAAACAGGAAATGAGGGGAAGAGAACATGAGAATGACATGCAGCAAAGCCAAAGGTCCTGACAGCTGAGAGGCGAAACAGTGATGCCCACGTGATATGCAGCCTAACCTCTCAGCCATTAGGGCATCTTTTTTTTAAAAAAATAAGATGTGCTCTATTTACCAAAGAATTTCTCAATCACCCCAGAGCTGACTTGAGTAAGTATTGTTGAGTATAGTATTGCTACAGCTGGAAGGAGACAGTATGATTTGTTCGGCGCTCCTGAAAAACAGTAAGGATGAGCAGACTTAGCAAACCCACTACGCCTGCAGCATTTCTCATCTGTCAAAACAGACACAAGGCTATATACATTACAAGCACTGGCACATGTGCGCACACATCCTCACACGTACACACTGCCGTCTACACAAAACACAGATCCAGAGGAGCACATTGAGCCCTTCTGTGTACGTCACTGTTTCTTGAAAAACATGGCTGTAAAACATCAGGAGAAAAAAAGTGATCCTTCTCCATCTCCATTGGACAACAACAAACAATACAGGGTGGTATTTCTAGCGGAGTGAATGATATTAAAGGTTTTTGTAAATTTGTATATTATCCATGTCAGTGTGTCTGGTTTGCACAAGCATGACTATAAACTGCTTTGCAGATTTGCTGCAGATTTCTGAGTGTGTGTGTGTGTGGGTGATAAAACCTCTTGTGGTTAAATTTAGATAATGCATGAACAATTTGGAATATTTCAGTTCTTTGTGCAGTGATCATGACATGGTATAAATCACTGTACAACTTTAAAAAGCCTTCCATATAATTGCAAACGTTGATATTATAATTAATTGCCCAACTCAATTTTAACTCAACCAGTGTTCTTTTCTGTTGATTCATGCCTTTTAAAATAAATGAGATGCTAATACTGAGGAATAAAACCTTCTAAACTGAAGTTTTTCTTGCAGGGAGTAAATGCAGATGCACTGGCAACTTAATTAAAACACAGGGGGCACAACCCAGGAAGCTATGGTTATTATCTGGCTATGCATTTATAAAGTTACAGACTATTTCTGCTTCTACACAAGGTCCTACAATAGCAGACTGTCACAAAGGTCACCTCATCTCTGCATCTCGTGCATTAGAAGTGAGTGTGTTTCAATGCACTTGAAATGGTTGAAAAACTGGGAAAAAAGCAAATATTAAAAGGGTATTCTAGCCTTGATTCTCCTTCAGGGAATACTGTGGATTTATCCAAGCTATTATAAAAAAAAATCTCTCTGAATGAACTTTAACAGCACTGTGTGGATGGATGGAGCTTCGAGATTAAAACACCCACACACAACTCAGATATCTACTGCAAATCCCCCAAAACACCATTTAACCAGGCTTGTGAGCTACACACACAGAGGCACACGCACACACACAGACACAAAGGATCAAAAATTACTCTTCAGGGCATGCAGCAGTGCTACAGAGATTAATTCTAATGTCAAGCAGTTGTACTGTATGTTTTATACGTTATAAAATGAAGAATTCAAACTTGTCATGGCAACAAGTAGAAGAGATGTTGGCTCAGTAAGCAATAACGATAACAATAAATAATGCAGAGCTATACACAGTGATATATAACCCCCTGTATTTGAAATTTCGAGTGGCAAATTTATTTATCTACAATTACACAGTTATGCAAATACACAATATTTATTTTTGCGTGCTTAGCTATGGTTGCACTTCCCCTATTAATACTCCATGTGCAACACAGCGGGGTATAGCGAGTGACCTTACAACTTTGCCCTTGGGAAACTAAGACTCAGACTTTAGTAAATGGTGGAGAAGAGGTTGGGCTGCAGTAAAGCTTTTATGCCAGCAGTGCAACAGCAGGAGAGGCAAAGAAAGATTTAACAGAGGAGTGATGGTTAAAATACAAACCATATTGCAAAGAACGCCTAGGATCTTTTCACCACGTCACGATGGCGAAGAGCAGATTTGTCCTGTAGCACAGCTGTAGCTGGGGTCCATTTCCTCTCTGTTGCTGGGGTGGGAGCAGCGCCTCTCACCATGGGGTCCCGAGAGTCTGTGCGTGACATCTCCAGCCTCACTTTTGCACATTTAAACTCCTCTACCAGGCTAGGGATAGGCAATGACAGTATCCCGTCACTGTAGAGTCCAACACTGCTGAGGCATTTCGGAAGTCTAAGCCACTTCCTTACGTAGGTTTTGGAGTGAATTGATAGAAGAAAATAAATTCTAGAAAACTAAACAGAAGAAAGTTGAAGAGAAATAACAATTTAATATATACCAGTGAGACACTCCGGGGCCTGATCAACCCTGGCAGGGCTTTGCTTGGATGAGGGTGTCTAGTGATAATGGCCAAAACACCCAATGAATCCAAGGTCCACTACTGATGATGTGTCTTTAAAAATGTTGAATACTTTAAATATTATACTCTAGATCAGATTTCTAATCCCTGAACCTAACCAAGGAAGTTAAAAAGAAACTGAGAAATAAAATTGGTATAATTTGTGATAAAAAGCCGAAACACCCCTGTGAAGTTAAGGCACACAACTGTGTCCCACTGGTAAAGCTTCTGGGCTGCCTTTCTTCATAGTAGCCATCCCTCAAGATTTTCTCCATTGGAAGCAATGCATTATCGGGGACTGTAACATCTAGTCCTTTATTGAATCATTCATATCACAAGTGTGGATTATAAATGAACCTCTAACATTTGGGAAACACTTCTCACAGGACTTTGTGCATAGACCTCTGTAAA